GAGGAAGCAACGACTGTTTGCAATAACGTGTTTGCTCAGCTCCAGTTATTTATAAGCAAGAAATGGTTTTCACAGAGGGCTGATACATAGGAGTGCATAGGGTCAGCGAAATGTTGGGGCATACGGCATACAGGCAGTGTTAGAGTTGATGACTTATTTAGTTTAAATATCTGACAACAGGTAGCAGCACCTGCACAAGGACCATCGTAAGACTTAAAGGGAGAGTTTACTCTAGGTTCTAGGGTTATTTTCAGTTAATTTAGGTTATAATTACGGCTACATAAAAAGTTTCATGTTCAATCACCATTAGAATTTTTTTTTTTTTCTGTTTAAAAACTAACGACTACAGTTTGATTAGGCAACGGACGGTGGCAGCCGCTCAGCGCACGATCTGATATAGTTGCGGCAACACCACTTTTCAGCCAAGGGCTACAGAGCGTGCGAGGGTGTTTCTTAGTTATTCATTTAAAAAGCAGAAAGATCTGTTAATATGCTTATAAAGCCGACATATAGTTTTTTCAGTTATATTATAGATAAATTTGGCCCTAAAATGAATAATCGTTTCGTTAAATAGGTGCATTTAGGTATAGAATATAATTGACTTTGTGTGTTTTTTAAGCACCTCCGTCTGTCAAGTGCAAAATAAATGGTCCAAATACGGCAAATTTTTTCGGGGTGGCAGCACGGTCGCGGTGTCCATGGCGGCCCATTCAATTTCGTAGGGCGCTGATGTGTAATTAATGTATAACAATTAAATTAGGTATTTGGTAACAAATACGTGTGGTATAGACGATTTGTTATACAGTAATGTACAGTTGTATGGCAGTAAAATCGCTAGAGGGCCTACCTCCCTTTAATGAGTATGCGTTAGCGCCCTGACCCCTTCACACACGCGGACGTCTTTTGTTGCCTAAATGAAAAAAATAGCTCCCAATGCCACTAGAACTATCCGAACATGGCACATTCTATAAACAGTGGTGATACCGCACAACCCCCCCGCCCGCTCCCTCATGCACAACCACACGCGCCATGCGATATGTGCTATCTACACCAAAAACTCGGATTTTAGCGCGATGAGCCAGCAAGCTGGAATACAGTGTGAGCGTGTTCACAGAAGATGAGGAAGGAAGACAATGAGAGGTCGCTAGTACTGTCAAGATGAAAAATTACCAGCTGACAGTCCAGAGAAGGCAGAAGTAGATGGCACAGCAAAGAACAGGAAGGGAAGTTAGTTAGCAAGATGAGCTCCGAATGATATTAAGTGCCAGCAGATGGGTGCAAGCAATCATGCTATAAAACCAACGGTGGTGCTTGCATCGTATGCGTATTTTTGGGCCTTGTTGTTTTAATGAGCGAAGTCAATATCCTTATTCGTTATTTCAAATTAGTTTATTTTAAATTTATGTTTCTAATATTTTAGTTTCGTTAGCTTAATGAAAGCACGAAATTGCTTGGCAGAGGCAGCGCTGGTTACATGTATTGCATAAGTGAAATGCAGTTAGAATTTTGATAGCTTGAATAGATTTAAGCAGTTACAGCTAGTGAAAATTCCATGCTGGGGATAAGCAGGCTTACAGTGTAGAACACAAAATCAAAAATGCAGTGAGCAAAAAGCTATATCAGTTATTTTAGAAAAATTTTGAGGGCCGAAGCTCCGAGAATGTTGTTTTGAAGTATTAAGGACGGCCGCGCTGCTTCTGTAAATCGTGTCCGAAAAGCAGGAAAGATAAACACACAAAAAACGTGACAAACTTTAACCGCCAATGCACAAACGTTATCACCAGGAAGCATTGAATCGATAAGCGAACAGCTTGTCGCGTGAACAGAGTAACGTACTAATCATACGTAGAACACTAGCCTTGGAGGTTCCTGTGCTAAACATTAGTTATAGAACAACAGACTGAGCCACCGTCCGCTAACTACGTAAATAATAGACATCTACCTCTTTTTCTCTTTCTTCTTATTCTTTCTCTTTTTCTTCTTCTTTTTCTTTTCTTCCAACTCAGGGCTCTCTGATCTAAGAATGACAAGAGCGGCATTGTGTGAGACATTAGTAGTCCTTAAAACTCAGCATCCAGTTCACAGGTCTATATATTTGGTTCATGAAACTGACCCCTGTACTCGCTCCCTCCTTTCCTTCCATCCCGACCTTCCCCAACCCGTCTCTCTCTCTCTTCCTTTCTCTATCTCCCCCCTCTCTCTCTTCCTTTCTCTATCTCCCCCCTCTCTCTCTTCCTTTCTCTATCTCCCCGCTCTCTCTCTTCCTTTCATCTATCTCTCCCCTCTAGTCTCGTTCTTATCTCTATCGGCCCCGCTGCTCTCTCTCTCTCTGTTTCCTTCTTTCCGTTCTGCCTAGCTGCTACCTGTTGTCAGATATTTAAACTAAATAAGTATCAACTCTGACACTGCTGTATGCGTATGCAACATTTCTGCTACCCTATGCATTCCTATGTATCAGCCCTCTGGAAAACCATTTCTTTCTTATAAATAATGGAGCCGAGAAACACGTATGCAACAGTTGTGCTTCTCTCCGTAAGTCATCCACCTGTGCCCACCGTTCGCTATAAAAATATAGCACTTACCGGACGGAAATCTCTTGAATAGAGAGAGAGAGAGAGAGAGAGAGAATTTCAATGGGAACATCGTTCTGCTTCACATAAACCAACACAAACATTTAATGGGGTAATCATAGTTTGTATACCTGTATTGCGATGATCCGGGGAGATCGACACGTGCGTCAAAAATGCGGCAAAAAAACCCAGACGTGCTAGCGATGCTAGCAGTCATCGTCAAATGCGATTCTAAACAGATCTAGCGGGAGGTGTACGTATATGTATGCGTGTGTATTAGACATGCATAGTGCGTGTAGGCAGTCACACGCAGCTGGCTCTATCATTGCAACGTTGAGAACGCACTGAATAAGCGATTGCGTCGTTAGTCAGTCAGTCAGTCAACAGGGTTCTTTGAACTTCACTGTCCTGTCATGACTGAAGATGAAAAGTTAAACACCGTTCTTCAGGGCTTTAAACTAACGCTCTCCCGTTCGCCCAAGGCTAGTAGAAATCAATAATGGCTAGCGCCATGTCTTGGCTGACCAGTACCGCTGGCAAATGCCGGTAATACTAAAATCCGTAACTACTTTTTGTGCAACATCCCATTCTTATTGAGTAATAAATTTTGTGTGTGCAAACGTCAATTTTATCGCTAAATTCCAGAAGGCTTGCTAAGGTTGATTCAAATTTTAATCCCATTACTAAAAGTTGCAAGCCTCGGAATGCATCCTCAGATAGTCTAAAATCAAAATT